TTTGTGCAATGGTAAGAATATTTTCATTCGGTGAAAGATGGAATGTTCCATTCAACTCGGCTGTCGCCTCGTTGAATGGAACATTCCATCTTTCACCGAATGAAAATATTCTTACCATTGCACTCATAAACATTCATTATTTGTATAGTGTAAATCATAGTGTATATAAATGGCCCGGTCAAACGAGAACAAGAGTTGTATGAAAGTTGATGAGAGTTGACTGGATTAGAATGAGAGTTGACGAGAGTTAAGAAGCGAGAGATTGCATGAGAGTTCTCTCAACTCTCATGCCCCAATCAAACGAGAACAAGAGTTGCATGAGAGTTGAGAAGCGAGAGTTTGCATAAGAGTTTTCTCAAATCTCATGCCCTGGTCAAACGAGAACAAGAGTTGCATGAGAGTTGAGAAGCGAGAGTTTTCTCAAATCTCATGCCCCAGTCCAGTCAAACGAGAACAAGAGTTGCACGAGAGTAGGCAAGCGAGAGTTTGCATGAGAGTTTTCTCAACTCTCATGTCCCGGTCAAACGAGAACAAGAGTTGCACGAGAGTTGACTGGATATCGGGTAGCAAAAACTCTTATTCACTGCACCAAAATTTAAACCAGCTCGAAGTTGATGAGAGTTAGAGTTAGTTCAAAGAGAGCCTGTTCGCAGGCTAGTGGAGAGTTGGCGGCCAAATGCAGGCGATCCTCTCATCCACCGAAGCGTAACACCATGAATGATAGATTTACGTGAAGAGTAAAGGGCTAAAGGCAGTAGTGTATTAATGTTACAAAAATCTCAAACCTTCTGGATCTGACCATAAAAGATCGCACATGGGACCATCATGAGGAACTTCTTGTTTACGATCAATAGAACGAATCTGTTTGGAAAATGGACAAAAGCACGTAAATATTTTGGTCCAAACACGGATTGCCGTATTTCTACACACATAGCGTACAACGCAGATAGTGTATCTTGATGGATGATACATATGTTTAGCAATCTCACAGGATTGTCCGATTAAATCTTTTCTTAAAAACCTGGAGATCACGCATGAATTACCTGGTCTAACGTTGTTATAGAAGGTGACAAGCCACCATGAACACAAAATATCTATAAAATACAAGAATAAAATATTCAGTGTGGGTGGATCCACAGAGCAGTAAAACACCATAACATGGCCGGATTTTGAGGGGAGGTGAGCACCTCCCCTGAGATCGTTTTGCACCTCCCCTGAGAATTTTTGCACCTCCCCCGAAAAGTCATGCACCTTCCTCTGGGAAAGATACAAATCAGAGTGAAAATTTGACATTTTTTGGTACCGTTAGGGTCTACACTTCGTAAGAAACAGCGATACCGACTTTCCAGTGTATAAGAAAATGTCCTGGGATTGCCACATTGTAATTTACTTGTTGCTAAAAATTGCAAAAGTGTTTTGCAAGGCGAGATTGTCTTGTACCATACAATCTCTGAAATCTACCAATGCAGTTGAAATATAAAACAATGGTAACTCCGAAAATAAACATTCTAATATTATTTTTTTTTATATTTGACTTACACAAGAAATTTTTATTTTGGGTTTTTCTGCCAGGAAGAGAAATATATTTTCTAGGCCTGATCAGCACTCGGTGTTTACTCTCATTTCTTTGTTTTATCGGAGTTCATCAGATATTTCTGCAAATTACTACATAATCTTATTTTTCCACTACCCACCCTGTTATCAATGATAGCAGATAAACTAAGATAGTCAAATATTTCTGTACAATATCGCCACACTGAGACGGAGCCATATTTCTTTAAACATTCATCATAGAATCCATAAACTTGTGTGATCTGTCTGCTTTCATGATTTCCTCTGATCAGAGTTATTCGATCAGGATAGCGAACCTGTAGTAAGCAAGATAGGTTATCACAATGCTAAAATGCACATATACATTGAATACTGCAGGGATGAATCCCCGTGGTAGGGGGGGGGGGGGAAGGTGTGTTAATTTTGTTGAGCCTTGGTAATGGTTTGGGGTGCGACTCACAGTCTGAAATTTGCAATATCATCAACTTGTGTTCATCAGTATCTTGATATCCACAGGATACTAACATTTGGTTTTGGATACCAAACTATGAATGACTTTGTATCCCAAATGGATATTACAAAATCTCAAACATTAGGATAATGCTAAATGTCTCTGGTGGTCTCCCAATAGCTTTGAAGCTTTGAATACTATGAGCCTTCCTTCTTCAAATTAATCAGCCTTTGATTTCCAACTTGGTGGTCTAATTGTTGACCGTTGAGTCTCCTGTTGTCATTGTAATTAATAACAATTATCAGAGACATGTACAGTATACTTGCTTTGATGGTTCAAGGATGCCAAAATTTATGGTAACCAGTTCTCAGTAAATGGGTTCTCAGATGGGATACTAGAACTTTGAATCTTTGGATAGGATATTTTCCTTTCCAAATAAAAAAAATAGTTCAATGAGCAAATTGCCCAGACCTCACTTTGTGTGTTGAAATACATTTGTACTTGGTAATAACTGGTCTTGTCACCAAAATACCTTTAGTGCTAGTAGTAGAAGAAATGTTTCAACACTGTAGAAACCTCGGTCTACAAAATCTCCCATAAAAAGGTAGTTTGTCTCTGGGACATCTCCTCCAACCTAAATTAAAGTTATAATTGGTAAATATGTTACAACAGGCATGATAAAGAAAAGAAAATAATATTTAGTAAAGTATATGGTACCTTGAAAAGTTCTTTTAAGTCATAAAACTGTCCATGAATGTCACCACAAACCTGGAAACATGCATTAGATAATTAGTAAAGATCAGATAACAATACTTGACAAGCGAAATGAATTGAAAGTAAAACTCAGAAAAATTTTATTCCTACGGTGACTGGGGAATCCACTCTCTGAACATTACTCTCTTCAACAAGAATTTCCCTAGGAGAAAATTTTTTCATGATTTGGGGTGATCAAATCAAGTTATTGTGTAACACACTTCAGCCGGTCAAAAATTAATAAATATAATGTATATTTAATGTGAGTTGAGTTGTTATATTTAAATACCTGGCCTTTCCACATAATTGTTTGACTTCATTTTCAGTAATGAGCTCACATCTCCGAAGCTTTTCTATTTGACTATAAAAATTTAATCTGGTTAATTAACCCTGAATACTCCCCTGAGGCGGGTTGCTCAAGAGTTGCGTTAGCCCTATTAAACCTTCGGTTAAAATGTAACCTGCTGTTTTAGTTTATGTATTTCTGCACGTCTGTTTATTTCAAAATTTCAGAGAAAACTCCTACTGATCCAGACAATATTCCTGAAGAAATATTTTCAAATTTATAACAAGCTATTAGGAAGTTCGATTTGAATATTAGGCTAACCTAGTTTTAAGTTAATCAGATTTTGAACAACTGGCCCCAGATGAATAAAATACTCTGATGTCATATATTAAAAGAGTGAAATAAAAACGTGGGGCACAATTTAATAGGGCACATTGCTACATAATGTGTTAGGAAATTTCTACTTTAATATATTAAACCTTGTACTAGACTTTTTCAATAGCCTTTTTCCCTTACTCACCGATCTAAATCGCTACATGTAGAATCCACCATAATAGAAGTGTATATCTACTATATATCTCGAGATACTACTGTCTTTTAATTCCTAGTAACCCGATTGTTTACAACACGAAATGTTATCATAAAGCACTCAGATAAAATTAATAAAACTTATCCAGTTTCGCCCAGACGCAGATATAAGACAAAATCAATATAATATGATGAATATCTCGGTTCCTAAACATACACCCAGTACGTTTTCGTGATTTTCAGTCGAGAAAAAGTCATAATAAAAACATTTTTGATCATTGATCAATAAAAAACTATCAACTCATTCATCATTTTTTTCCCGCATAATTTTTTATCCTGCTCCCCAGTCCTTGCTCGGGCTGTGACAAAAATAACGACATTTTGTCGGAATAACGACATTTCTGTTGAATTCAAATTTGAATATTCGGAGAAATGTTGTATTTCGTACAAAATATTATAAAAAATATAAAAAAGTTTTGTATTTTGTATATATAGTTTTATTATACTTAATAGTACTTATAATTCCAAACTGTTTCCGATTCTCAAAACCATTTCCGGTCTTTCTAGGTTTTCTACAGGATTTTCCAGGAATTCGTCGGACGTGGAATGAAAATGGACAGGTTAGGGCGTGTTAGCGTCTTTCTTGGTCATTGTGGTCTGTGTTTGCATTGCTGTGGGATATTGGCATATTGCAATATTTATTTGAAAGACCTGCACTATATTTTATATTGAAAGACTCTTTTGCAAAAAATTGGTTACTTTGCGGCAATTTTGAAAATATGTAAGCTGTTCTGACGTTCTGTCGATACACCGGGAGACGTATTGTACAGAAAAGTAGAAGACATGCAATCGTCTTCCGCTTTCCAACACTAAACAATGGCGGAACCTGCTGGTATGTTTGTTTGGTCAGCTTTTTGGACGATTACTTATTAATTAATTTACTGTAAAGTTTAAAGTTCTTAAATTAATACACTTTATAGTACTTGTGTATACATGTATAATACTGTAATGTATTAGCATATATATGTTTTACGCCATAGTATAATTACAATGCATATATTTATAATCTAGCTATTTTACATATTTTTTATTTTTACAAATTTAGACTAAAATATACGAATTTGTATCGCTTTATAAATTCTTGCATATTCAGTTATAAACTTGACTTAAAAACCAGGTTTAGGAATTCAAATAAGGAATTCAAATGCGGGAATGATGGAAATCCGATGATTTCGAAATCAGAAAGTATAGAAGTGTCGGCGAAAGGTTTGAATCTGGGCATTTCAGATTTGTGAAGGAAATTTCGTCGTTTTTGCGACTATATTTCACAGTTTTCGAGATATTCTGATTTCAAATTGCTCTAGACTGCAGACTTTTATAGGAAATCTTGAAATCAGCTCAGAAGCGATTTCGAAATCTCGTACGCCCACTTGGTAAAGATCGGTAAAGCTGGTTGGATTCTCATTTATCGTAAACATCGGCGATGCCAATTTGTCTGTGGTCATTGATGCATAAAATGTTTTGTGCATTTTCTTCTTCGTTGCTCACAGACAATGGATAAAACGGGAATCCTATCATATTCAGGGCCGTCCTCGGGTAATTTTTCACGGGGTTGTATTAAGGTCATTTCAATTTCATTACGATTTACGAACGTTATTTATAGCACAGAATAGATATAGGGATTTATAGTTCAATGGCTTGTACGGCCAGAGCTAAGGGGCGGACCATTAGAAAAGTGATGGGGGGGGGGGGCAAAAGCAAAAAAAAATCGAGCAGGGGAAACAGAAAAAAAATTCGTGCACCAGAAAAGTTTGAAAAAAAAAATTCGTGCAGAGACTTTTCAATAGGGAAAATTAGGTACAGTGTAAGGGTGGCCCCCAAATTTGGAAAATAAAAGAAAAATAATTTCGAACGTTTTTTGATATAAGTAATGGTGTGAGAAAAATTTTCTAAACCTAAAAATTTGCTAGATTAAAAATGCATATTTTTATTTTTTGCACCTAGCAGATATTGGTGCAAAAAAGCGTTTTAATCATGTTTTAAGAAGAATTTGTCAGGAAGAATTTTTTCTGACCCCCTTTTTTATGTCCTGAAAAATTTTTTTCACCCCCCCCCACGCTAAATAAAATTCAAGCAAGGGATTATTAAAAAAAATAATTGACACAAGCAAAACATTTCGAAAAAATAATCGTACAAGTTGGAAATGGACCACCCCCCCCCTCATCACTTTTCTAATGGTCTGTCCCTAATCCACTCAGAAGGAAATTTCCTTCCAAAAGGATATTTTGGCATTTGGAAGGAAAAATAAGAGGAAATGAGATTTGGAAGGAAATCGGAAGGAAATTCGGCCATTTCGAAGGAAAAGGGAAGGAAATTTTACAATTTGAACTTTTTCAGTAATTTCTAGTAATTTATTAATAATGGTTAAATACTTTATTATGAACTTTTGAGTTCAAAAACATGTATAAAAATAATACTTCGGATATTTACACTACCGTCAAGGATGAATGGGGGTAATTTGGGATTTAAAGGCTAATGGGTTGTTCCAGAAAAGATCCACACTCCCCCCACGGAGGAAATTTCTGCTGTCCGGAGGGGGAGGGGCGACAAAATTGTTTCAGATAATAGTAAATGTATTAGGACATCCGGAGGGGGTAGGGTGGTTAACTTCCAATTTCCTCTGTGGGGGTGTTATGGATCTTTTCTGGAATGACCCAATTTCTCACTCAAGCAGCGGATCGGACCAGTGAGATCAGAACAAAACAAAATCTGTGCATGCACCATCAGTAGAAATTTTTGGTTCTGATTGATCCGGCGGCGTTGCTGGCTGGATAATAAAAAATTTTATATTTTTCAACTTTTTTTTTGTCCGGTCTGCGGATTAATTAAACCTGCATGGTTTAAAAAAAAACCCAATCAAAATTCAAAAAAAAAAAAAAAACCAATCAAAAAACCAATCAAAATTCCATATGATCTCACATAAATTAAAATAATTAAATAATGCCTGTATAAAATTTACAAAATGGAGGATAATTTAGGAGCTTTTTTGGAGAATTTTTACAAAATGGAGGATAATTTAGGAAGAATTGGAGAATTTAGAAGAATTGGAGAGTACAACAATTCCTTAAATTAAATTGCTTGGTAACAATACATATGAAATTGCTTAAAAAATATTTATGGTAGCTTATACTCTTCTATCAATAAGTGGTATATGGTATTTACTTTTCTGTTGTCTTTCCTGGAAATTTTCTTATCCAAACTAACGCTCTTTTTGTATTTTTCTTGTTTTCATCTCCTTTGCTGGCGTCGACGTAACCAAATCTGATGAACGACAGGCTTGTCCAGAGCTGCTGTAAGGGGCGAAACTAGCCCCTTAACTTTTAATTTGGGGGTTGTCTGCCAGAATTGCCCTGCCAAAACCAATGATCATTGATGCCCTGCAGCAAATTTTTATTTCTGGCCGCTATTTTTCCCAAAATGTTGGGGGGAGGGGGGGGGGGGAGAAGTTGAAAAAAAAATTTCCGGACATTATTAAACAAAAAGGGTAAAAAAATTTTCCAGGTATAAATCAGTTAAATTAAGGGTCAAAACAAAATTGTCCCTACAAATTCCTATTAAAACATGGGTGAAACCCTTATTTTTGGACCAATATCTGTAAAATTTAGGTCTATAAATTCTATTCAATTCCCTCTGAAAGCCCTATAAGTTACTAATTACCTCTACATTCTATCATCTTTGATTGCCCTGCCAATCCAGATGATTCGTATTTTGGGCGGTGTCACACACCCCCATACCCCCTCAAGTTTCGCCCCTGGCCGCTGCCGTTTTGAAATGAGTGTGAAATAGTAATTTGTGAGACTGGAACGAGCTCCATTTTTTCATTTTCCGATCCGATCATTCCACTTGTCCTTTTAAGGCTATATAGTTTCCACTCAGGGAATTTATCCGTGGATTGGAACAGACAAGAAAATTTTTCTTTGTGTTAAAGTCATTAGTCCCAACCCAGAGCTCGCAAGACAAAGAAAAAATTTCTTGTCCGTTCCAATCCACAGATAATTTTCCTGAGTGGAAACTAGCCTAAATTACTGGAAATTGCTTGCTGGACCGGAAAACCTCCAATCCGGTCCGATCCGCTGCTTATTATCCGGAGTGGAAATTAGCCTTTAAAACGTCTTCAGTGGGTACTGTGGGTGAGTAGAGTACTAATGTACATAAATAATGCAGGATGAATTTTTTCGTGTGTTTTTATAAACTAAAAAAAAAGTCGAAAAAAAGGGAAACTGTAATTTCTAAACCAAAAAAAGTTATTTATAAATTATGATGGCTTAGGGAGTGGTCATTATTTACAGGAAAGGGGGGTTGGTAAATGGGGAAATATATAAGGATTGAAAACTTTTTTGACCCCCCTCCAGACTGTCAAAACAAAATTTTTGTGCCTCTCTTCTCATAAAAGTAGAAACTTTTCTGACCCCCCCCCCTCCCCCAGTGTGGATTGAAAAATTAACAGCAATGAAACAGGTGTGCATTGCAGATGAAGTTGGATATTAGGACAATTTGTTTAATCTAGCTTATGATGTTTTACCCTGGTGAATATCATTCAACCATGATATGTGATTAAAAATATATATTATGTGTTTACTTACTACTTTGCAGTGCAACATTTGTCCTACCATAACCCTAATGCATACAGTGAAATGATCTGAACACAGGGCTTTTTTATGAACTTTGTCCGGAGGGGGGGGGGGCATCTACATAAAGGGACCATACTATACTGAGTGTGGAGAGATGACAGATGGTTGTTGGTGACAAGAAGTTTGGTGTGGTATCGTATGGAATCAATTAATCCATTTGTCTATGTTTTAATAATCTTTTAAAATATTAACTTGCTTGTGTTCAAAGTCTGTTCTGCACAGGTCTACATTCCAATGGTCGGGACCCGGCCATTGGAATTGTTATGAATAATTCATATGAATATTTCTTGAATTGAATCTCTAGTCTGTATTCATTTACAACCATAGTTGTTTTGAACAACTGCTTGCAAATCCAGCACCTTGGAAATATCTCTTTCACTTGAAATTTAGTTTTATTTGTCATTTTTTATTTTGTCTGCCGACTAAAATAGCAGCTTAAGTCCTACCGACTGAAGCTTTGAATAAAATTTATGGGGGTGTCACCCCCCCCCCCCTCCCCTCCTAGCTCCGGGTCTGATCATATACTCAACAGGTCCGAATACCGGTAAAATTTTGCCAGACATTTGCTGGATAGACTGGAACTTTATTACAACCATGAAACCGAGAAATTGTTTTCTTGTTTTTTGGGGGGAATTAAGCATGCAGAAAAAAACTAATGAAATTAACTGCTCTCTGCTGTGGAGTGCCTGATATTTATATGCTTATTGTTTAACTGAAAAAGTGAAAACCGACTTGAAAATTCGCGCTACTCGTTTTTAAATGTGACTTATTTACCAGAGATGACTTATACTGTATTATTCTTTATTAGAATAATATGACTGAACTGGTCAGTTTTTCGTATCTCTGAGGATGGTTCTGAAAAAGAGATGACTTAAATACAGGACTTTTTTGTGATCTTTCTAGTGGTATAGACTATAGTTTATTTTGTTAAATTTTTCAGATATTAACAAACCATTTGGTCAGAAAGAACCCCCGCTAACTGATCATATTGTAAATATATTGGGTCGTTATCCTGATGGAGGCCAAATTTTGAAGGTATAAAATTTAAATCCACCCAACTTTATTATTTTAGTTTGTCTAATATGCCAGACGATTTTATTTATCAAAGTGACAAAGGGAGAATCTTGCACTTTAATGTAATACTAGCTAACTCGACCATTGAAGCTGAAATATTCTTATAATGCAAGTAATTATACTCTTTTTTTTTCTTCAATGTTTATTGTCAAGGGTTGGATGTAAGATGGTAACTAACACATGCAACTTTTTTAACCCGTTAAGCTCCAATCCAAATCCTTTCTTGCTATTATATTACAGTTTTGAAATCACAGGTCATATGTATTATGGTGTCTCATTTTCACTACACTCAATATATTATTTGATCAAAGGAATTAATTCAGAATGCTGATGATGCAGGAGCCAGAGAAGTGAAGTTTCTCTATGATGGTCGATCATTTGGCAAGAAGTATCTCGCTACTGAACACCTGCAGAAGTATCAAGGACCTGCACTCTACGCATTTAACGATGCCATATTTAAACCTGAAGATTGGGATGGAATCCAGAATCTAATGCGAAGTAATAAAAAATCTGACATACTCAAAGTTGGCAGATTTGGCATTGGCTTTAATTCAGTCTACCACATCACAGGTTGGTGAATAACTAGCTCTGTGGGGCCGGAGGCATACATTTTTCACTTTGACTTGGTTGTTTGTGCATTTAGTTTGTTTGTGTGTCAGCATGCAAGGAAACTCAAAACTATCAAAAGATTATGCAGCCTTGTCTCCAATTGTGGTTAAAATGAAAACAGGATGCAAAATTATATAATATAAAACTTTTTTCTTATCATTTATATATGTATTATTTATGCATGATACCATACTTGATTTTGGTTGGTAAAATATGTAGCGTCTGGGGATCTATTCTAAAAGACCACACGAGTCAGAACACGAGTGAACACGAGACAACACGAGTGAATACGAGTGAACACGAGTCAGAACACGAGTGAACACGAGACAACACGAGTGAACACGAGTCAAAAATGACGAACACGAGTGAACACGAGTCAAAAATAGTAGTAGTAGTAGTAGTAGCAGTAGTAGCAGTAGTAGTGGTAGTGGTAGTGGTAGTGGTAGTGGTAGTGGTAGTGGTAGTGGTAGTGGTAGTGGTAGTGGTAGTGGTAGTGGTAGTGCTTTATTTATCCACGCTGACCCCGTCAACCGTAACTGATTTCCACGGGGGGCGTGTGCCAGAAAATTATTTTACATGCAGAATATGATAAGGATAAGCTAAGCTATTACAATAATATATAAATTTAAAAGATATAACAAATGTTTTGAGCTATTTACAGGTAAGTTATATTTACAAAGGTTACCAAGCACTAATGTGAGCAGCGATTTTATTTCGAAAGGAAGAAAGTGACTTGCTTTCCCTAATTTCTTTTGGTATAGAATTCCAAATTTTTCCTCCGTCGTACATAAAACTATTTTTCATGCTATTTGTACGTGGTTTTGGTAAATAAAGACCACTTGAGACATCCCGAAGGTGGTAATTAGTTTTCTCACTCTTAAACGAAAATAGATTTGTGAGTGATTTCGGGCCCATTTTGTTTAATAACTTATACATCATTCTTGCTTTAGTTTTCTTCCTTTCAGGTTGGAGTGGCTCCCAGCCCAAAGTACGTAACGCAATCGTATAATCTACGTCATTGCTTATATTCAGAATAATTCTTGCCGCTCTATTTTGCAGTTTTTGCAGTCGTTTTGATTGAGTTTCGCCAAATACATCCCATACTTCGCAGCAGTAGTCAAAGTACGGACGAACAATAGTGTTATATATCAAAATAAGTGTATCTTGGTCAACAAATGGTTTGATCCGACGAATAGCAGAGATTCCTGCTGTAACTTTTTTGCAAATATTTTCGGTATTACTTTTCCAAGATAAATGCTGGTCAATTGTTACTCCTAGAGTTTTGCATTCATGAACTTGTTTAATGACGAACACGAGTGAACACGAGTCAAAAACTGACGAACACGAGTCAAAAACGCATTCTTAAAGAGGCTCCCTACAGTTTTAAGCCCGTGATGAAGATCTGTACTGTGTAATTGCACGCGGGTTTCTTGGCGGCTCACAGGATGTTGGATTAATAATTATTAATAACAATTATTCGCCGAAGGCGAGGTGATTATCGGTGAATAAAAACCGAGACGAAGTCGAGGTTTTTATTCACGATAATCACCGAGCCTGAGGTGGACAATTGTTTTAGTATAATTTCATAGGTGAATATTTAGAAAAAAATTTAAAAATACACATTTCTTCGTCATTTAATTGACACAACGGCTTCGGCCGCCATTTTGAGAATCACTTAGGTGATTATCGCGTAATAATCACGTACCTCAACAGCAGCCAATCAGCGTGGAGAATTTTGAATAATCACCTATGTAATTATACTAATAATTATTAAAATCATAACGAAAACTTTATTCAATTTTAATAATAATAATAATACTTATAATACTTATAATTATTATAATTATATTATAATTAATTATAATTATATAATATATTAATTATTAATTAATTATATATATATATATATATATATCCGCTCGACTTGCTGACAAAGCATGAAAAGATCTTCACGAACTGTTTGAAGAATTCCATTTGAAAATCACCGCAGAGATCACACACCAATCCGTCAACTTCCTTGATGTCACTTTTAACCTACGCGATGAAAGCTATCAACCCTATCGTAAACCTAATAACGACCCACTTTTCATTGACAGCCGTTCAAATCATCCTCCTGCAATCACGAAGCAACTTCCAACTTCAGTTAACATGCGGATTTCACAGCTATCGTCCAACCAAGAAGCGTTTTCAAAAACCGCTCCCCTGTACGAAGCTGCCCTTCGCCGTAGCAATTACCAAGCGGATTTGAAATATTCCCCCAATAATTCCATAAGACCAGGAAACGATCACGTAACATCATTTGGTTTAATCCACCTTATAGTACGAACGTAAGTAGAAATTTCTACCCAACGTGGGTAGAAATTTCTTAAGTTTGGTTGACAAACATTTTCCCCCATCAAATCCACTACACAAAATATTTAACAGGAACTCGGTGAAGGTTAGCTACAGCTGTATGAACAATTGTAAAAGCGTCATATCCAAACATAACATCGGTATCCTGTCCAACAGTAAGGCAGCTACATCACCAACAACAAACGGCAATGATAACTGTAACTGCAGAAACACCGACAATTGTCCACTCCAAAAGAATTGCCTGATAGAAAGTGTCGTGTACAAAGCGGAAGTCGAGGTTGATAAGGAGAGTACCAAAGAATATATTGGCGTGACTTCGACAACCTTCAAAAAGCGCTTTGCGAATCACAAAACCTCGTTCGAAAACCCAGACAAACGAAATTCCACCAAGCTATCCAAACACATTTGGCAATTAAAGAAAGAGAAACGCAGATTCAACATTAAATAGACAATACTAAAACAAACACCTTCCTATCGCAGCGGCGCAAAAAACTGTGATCTTTGTCTCCAGGAAAAATTGCATATCCTGAAAGGTGATAAGACAAAACTATTGAACAAGCGGTGTGAACTTTTCTCGAAGCGGTGTGAAGAATTGTCGTTAGGGTTTATAAGGGATATGGCGTAGATTTAGACATCTTACATGTAAGTCTTAGTTCATTGTTTCCTGAAATATGAACGTTCGAAATTATGCGGGTATTTAATAGGTCTTTACAAACTTAAAGGTACATGCATGAAAGCGGACGATGCAAGTTAAATTTTTCTTAAATATAGCCTAATTTTTTTATGTTTTTCATGGGTTCAAAACAAAGTTGATTATTTCTCGGTTAGAGCAAGGTAAATATTATTTTTTACTGAATTAGGAAATAATATTGCTTTTTGCAAATACACATCACAGAATCAACGCTACTATTTTGTTACGTTTTGTTCCAAAAATGTTGGATGTCTCTGGGGAGTTGCTCGTTATGTCTTATGGAGTTGTATGGTTTGATTGTGTTTTATTCTCAGTTTATTCTGAACTTGCCAAGATTAAGAAAAAGCAAAAGAGTTTGGGTGTTCTTAACAAGATTTCAAAACGTTGCAAAAGTTAGAAGAGCTTCACAATTCCATTGTGACAGCATGCCCTAATTCAGAACTACGAACGATCCATGACGATCATTCGCGATACAGTGAGTGGCCTCATGAAATAAGGAAACATATTCGTGCTAGCAACATGCACACGCGGATTTCGGACGAATAAATCTTGCTTGTATTTTGTAAGTAATAATACTTTGTTTCATAATAAACAATTTGTCAGGTGTCATCTATTAACTGGTATATAGTGCACTTCGGTATATAGAGCACTATTATTATAATAGTGCATGTTTTAGTCGGGCAAATCTTGATTAATATCAGGATACTCCGTTTTTTGCATATTTCAGACACATCCAGAAATATGCTCCCGAATTTAAACATTAATATCTCCGTTAATTTTTACGTAAACTACAACTGTAATATATCAAAATCTAAGTTAGTCCTTCCTGTATTTGATGCAAGTTATTTCTCCTTAAAAACTTTACTTGTTTAAAAGTTATTACGAATCAAACAGGAGTACTTTTTTTTGGGACACCCGGTATATATATATATATATATATATATATATATATATATATATATATAT